TTTCGGAACTGTTACACTTCGGCACTGTTGAAGGCCCCTCTTTTTTTCTTTATTTTAATTTAAAAATTTTCAACTGTGTCGTTAAATCGATTTATCCTTATAAAAAATTTATCTTTGTTAAAACTTTAATAACCGGTTAACCCCTCTATACCCTACGCAACTTGATTTAAATGTTGATGTTTTTTGTCATTTTAATTGTGAAAATTATCTGGATTAGTGTCATGACTACTATAATTTGATTAAACTCTTTCCAACTAGCTAAAGGTCCATGTAACCCGATGTTTATTTTTAAATAGTAGTTCCAAAAGTAACTTTGTGAGCTTTGATCCGGTAGAGATTTTACTCGCGCGAAATTTTTATTACTGCATTGAAAATTTTCAAAAAGCGTTTCAGGCAGCTGAAGATAAATAGGTTGAGTATTTATACTAATTTTAATCATCCTTGTAAATTGATAACCAGTTAATTTACATTAATTTTTGTTTGACTTGTATGCCGTTTCATTGATTTTCAAGTTTTTTAAAGTGTTTTCTTTAAACTGAAAATAAAATTTTGCAGTGTTATTAATCCTCTCAATGATTGATTTGAAATTCATATAAGCTGTATTCAAAATTTTGACGAGCTTCGTACTTCGAAGTTTTTTTGGAAGTATGGGTGCGAAATTTTTTTTTTGTATTTTTCTATTTCTTCTTGATGGGGTTGTCTTATGTTTTTTTTGTTATTTTTCGTGATTGTTTCATTTTGTTTTCCAGCGACTTTGTATCATCCTGATCATTATATCCCGATGCTGCTTTGTCTATAACAAAGAAATCCTGTAAAAAAAATACAGTTGTGTCAATTTGCTGAGTTATTTCTTCAAGTTATTAGATAATTTTTGTAATTTTTCTTCCCGATTCCATTGCATTGAGTTCCAATAAAAGTTTCAGCTGGTTTTCCAATTATTTCTATAGTTACTTGTCAATAAACGGTAAGTTTTTAATCATCTCATAAAGATGCGAAGTTGGGGAACAGTACGGTTGTTGTTCCGACTTTCGCTACAAAAGTAATAGAATATTTGTGCTCGGGGTGGGTTTTTTCTTCAGACAAACTTCGAATTCTTAACTAGCCATTTTTGACGGAAATTTTTCATCAGTCAAAAGGTTTTGTTGCCTGTTAATTTTGAAAAGATATTTTACATGTGATCATTTTTCGTAAAGTAATTGGGGTTGCAATTTTGGTCAATTTGGGACAATTTACGCGCGATATATTTTGCGCTTTTAACGCGTAAGCGAAGTATTAATCCGTCTTAAAAATCGTTCCAAAGTGGTTGAGGAAAGCTTATTTGCCATAACTGATTTGTTACTAGAAGCGAAATCTATCACTTTGTACTTTATATAGGTGGGGGAGACGATTTTGGTTTTAAAAAAATCAAATAAAAAATGGTTTATTTTATTACATTTAAATTTTTCATGACAATACAGCTCCACATACCTTAAAAAGCAGTCGGAACATTCAGAGTTTAACCCTGATACGAGCAGTCTTGTTTCTGTTTTAAATCGGAGTGCAGAGATAGATTGTTAGAATTTGGTTTTTGACATTGCAGTAGCTTTGTGTTCCGGCTTTGTTAACGAAAGTAACAGAATATTTGTGCTCAAGGTGATTTTTTTCTTCAGAGAAAACCATTTTTAACTAACTAACCATTTTGGTGCAACTTTTTAAATATTATTCAAAAAGTGTTGTTGCCCTTATTCGCGCTAAAATTATTGCCTATTTTGGGCTAGCTTAGAAACCAATGGTTAGTCTTACTGCGGCAGTTTTTTGAGATTTATACGTAAATAGGATTACTTTTATGTATTTTCACCAATCAATATCTAGTTTTTGCGACAACTCTATTGGTTCATCGCCGAACGTGGACACGTTAATTTTTGCCTCGTAAATGCATTGCAGGAGCATCTTCGTTTTATCATAACTTTTTTAAAATATGATCAATGATAGAGCTTGCTAAAAAGAAAAATCTCGGAGAATTCACCCGATTTTAAGTAAACTAGAAACACCAACTTCAACTTTTTGAGGCCAACCTTACAAAATGCTGCCCTCGAGGACAATTTCTTTTTTACTGTTTTGCTTCAACAACTTTGTTCCAGTGGTTTCAACTAAAAAATGATTTTCGAAGTTACAATTCGGGAAAGCCAAAATTGCAGATCGTGTGATGCTTGCTTTCGCAAAGGAAAAAATAACTTGGTAACATTTAATGAAACAGTATTTGAGTAGCAAAGAATACAAACCTTAATTGAACACTCCAAAAGGATACACAAACGATATTTGCTCAAAAAATGCTCATTGTTTGGCAAGGAAAACACTCTCACTTTTTTAAACAAAAAAGTTACTATTTTAATCAAGTGTTCCGTTTTCGTGTTTTTATTTTTCAGTTAAAAGAAGTACTCCGGAGAAAAGGAATTTAGGAGAAAAAAGAAAACTAGACCCCTCCGATGATCAGTATTAGGAGCTTTTTTCTTTCGGCGTAACATCAGTAATCTCTTTTTTTTGCGCAGATGGTATAAAAATAAGCAATACCGTATAATACACTCTTTACACTTGGTATTATCATACAAAACAAATCATAAACTTCGAAGGCAAAAGCTAAAAACAGAAAATGTTAAAAAATTACAAATGCAAGCTGATCACATATCAAGTTTTTTTTATCCGAAATGTAAGGAATAAGTGCGATAAAATCATCTCATTTTACCATCAAACCAGAAATGTGTTGTTCGTTGCACAATATAAATGAGTATACAAAAATAAATAAAACTGTTTTATGGAGCCGGAGTTCTCAGGTACAACTGCACGTAGCCATATAGATATCAGTGTCTAAAGTTTTTCAAGAACAACAAAATTTAATGTTGCAAATAATTTACAGAAAACGAGAACTAGTAGGGTTGAAGTGACGATTAAGCAACTTCTTCAATTTACCAACTGCACAAAAGCGATGTTCTATTACACAGTTCTTAATAAAAATCATATGAAACGAAAACTTGTGAGCATCAGGTTGTCAATCAGGTTGTCTCGTTAGAGTAAAGCTTTCTTAGATATTGCAGTATCAATCTAAGGAATTGGGTAGTCTTGTCAAACAAATCAGAGACTCTTAACTGGGGTCTGGTGCAAACATCTGTTAGGTCAAACATCCGCTATGTCAAACATCCGAACTTATATAATAATTACGTAATAAATTGACGTAAGCATTTAAAAAAAAAGACAGAGACCGTTTAACAGCTTGCAAAATAGCATGCAAATGAGTTCTAAAATAACTGAGGGATTTTGTTAATTATCCCCCTATGGTACCTTGTAACGAATATTCCCCCCCCCCCCCCCCCTATAAAGAAAGAATTGAACAGTTAAGCTAATGCGAATTTGTACCTTGTTAACTGTTCCCCCCTCCCTATTGCAAAAGGGGGGATAGTTAACAAGATCTTAATTGCGTACTAATACGTTGAATTCCTACAATTTTCCACATTGCGTCTCAAATTTCTCAAAATTTGCTCAAAAGTTTATCAAAGAGACAAAAACCATAGTTTACTCAAAACTAGAGTAATCAAAGATTTCCTATTGTTGCATTTACAATGTATTAGAAACAATTTGAATTGTACAAAAGTTTTCTTATACAAATTATATACTGAAAACATTAAACTTTTCAACTTTGGCGAAAATTTTCAAAAATGACTATCATCAAAATTTAAGTTTTCAAAGTATCAGACATTAATCAAGGCATACATAAACATGCCATACAAAAGAAATAAAAGTTTTGAGCGTTTTTGAAAAAAAATTTCTCAGAGAAACGGAAAGAAGTCATTTTGTTTGGAAAATGTTTGCTCGAGTACAAAATTCGATTTGCGGTTGAAAAAAAATTGAGGCAAAAATTTTTTTTTTGGGGGGGGGGGGCATTTCAAAATTACTTAGAAAATTTTTTGTTGTCGCCATCAAAAAAAATGCTAGTCATACAATTTCCATATCTGGAAATTATATGATTAGCATTTTTTGACAAAAAGTTTTTCTTCTCTTAGGACGATACACCGACTTTTATGCCAAAGCAAGAAGAAAATTCGATTACACCATTTTAGCACAATGTTTGAAATTTGCTTGACTAATATTTTTTCATAGACTTAGTTTATAGAATTGTATGACAAGCATTTTTGGTCTATTGAGGTCGACCCGGGATTTTAAGTATGTTGCGCTTTATTACTAAACGTCAAAAATCTTTTTTGGACCCAGTACTACCTTTATGAGCAAACCAAAAGAACTCAGCAAAAACTTTATAAAATTAGTATCAAGACTCATAAGAGTCTCATGTTATTGACAAAAACTCATATTGGTTCAGTGTTTGGCAAATTTGCAGTGGTTTGTAATTAAAAATATGCTAAAACAGCATCTTGTAGTTCTTAAGCAGGGGCATAACAGCGGTTTGCCGTGAGAAGCTGTACAACTCGTATCTTGGTCCTTTCTCTCGTGGATAAATGGTCTTAACTTAACTTAATCTTTTAAGCGAACAATAGAAATAGGATGTTTGCCCTACTTATAAAAATATCGGATGTTTGCCCTAGTTAAGCTGGTTTTCGCATTCGGTTTAAGATGTTTGCAGCTCGTTAAGATGTTTGCATTTAGTTTTTCGGATGCTTGACATATCAGATGTTTGCACGGTACCCCTTAACTGTGCAATAGGGATCTGTGTGCAATAAGGTTTTGGTAAATTTTTGATTGTTTGTTGTTTTGAGTCTTTTCTGACATTATTTTTTTTGTTGAAAACATATTTTTCATTATTAATTGTTTTGATTTACATAACTTATACATTTTTATTTTCAATCAAAACAGTTTTGGTGTATTTTTAGAGTCAACTCAGCTGAAATAGTTCAAAGAATATTTTTTCAAAATGGGGTAGCCTGGAATAAATATGTGCTGGATTCTAAATATAATTTAGCTAATGTTACAACCTAAGACAAAATTCAAATTTTGAACGTTTTGTTATCTTTCAGCTGCTTGGACGTGCAAATGAATGGACCAATTTACCCATCTCCCAATCAATCCATGCAAAAATACAACACAAACGACGGAATCAACAAAACTTCTGACTATTATTCTGTCGCCCCCAGCCGGTCAAATGGCACAGCATGCAAAAGCATGCTCGAAATGGCAACGCTCCAGAAAACGAATTCTACCTCTACCGATTCTAACATAGAAGCTACGAGGCACCAAATATCGCCTAGTAATGTTAGTAATCTGAAGGTGCAAAGTCCTAAACTAAAACCACACGGAAGACGAAACAGTTTTATCCCTCGTTTTTCCAACTTCGAACATAGGAAAGACACCCAAGATGAAGAGCAGTTCTTATGCGTCGACGATTCAGATCCGAATAGATTCGATCACGATTTGGACAGAAACCGAGACGATAACTCGAGATCGGCACGGGCGGGGAGAAACTCGGGCAGGCGTAACGGAGACGGGGGAGGGGGGAAGCAGAGTAAATACCCCGAGTTTAGCTTTAGAGTGGAAAACAGTGACGGGGGTACCTCGCCCCCTCTCGAGAACGAAGTGTCGACAACAGACGAAGCTTGCTACCTCAAATCTTCTCATGGTCAAAAAGGTACGTGTACTGGAGACTGTTTAACTGGTTAAGGAAATTATGTTAGAGAACACTATTATGTATGGTACTTATGTAACATGATCAAGGTCAACGTTATAGACAGCTTTGGAATTGCGGATCGCCGGTGGCGAACGTGTCCTTTGAGAATTGAAACTCTAAATTTCTTAACTGTTTTATCAAGTCCTACTTATTAGTATACGGACGTTAGAAGTATTTCCACGTGACGCAGTCAGCTACCGAATCAAGCTACGGTGGGCTAGGTGTATTTTGGCATGGAGTATCTCAGGAACCGCCGGTATTTCAGGAAATCGATATCGGTTTTTTATAAGATGTTAGTACCGGGCCAGAAAACGTGTATCCGACATCGGAAGACCCGGCGGGTACGAAAGATGCACAGACGCGAGCTGACAGAGAAGCTGGTAATGCAGAAGCAATAATAGTCTGGAGAGGAAGAAACTCGTCGCTCGGATGGAGAGAAACGATTCTTTCGCGGAAGCACGAGAGGAGAGGCAAGCAAGCGACTAAAGTCGAAGATGTCATTATCGTTGGGGAAGCAGGGGCAACGATACTTCCATCAGAAATATCCCAATAGCAAAATTATGGATATTAACTTTGCCGAGTTTTAGATTTTCAACAGATGCGTTCTTTCGGGAACCAAATGTTACCAACAGTAGGTTCATCCTGCGTGGACGTAAGCAGCGAAATAATGGTGTAGCAGTGTTTTAGAGCTCTTTGTGACCTAGCCAAAGGCTGGGATTTTGGCCTCAAGGACGAGTCGATCGCGGGAGAGATATTGTACAAACGGGTGAGTGGTGGCGTCTCAAAGTTCGGACGAAACAAGTTTCACCAAGGGAGACAGATACCAACGGAAAAAACCCACAAGGTTACATCAAAAGAAAACCAGTGAATGACATAAAGGGGCGAATACCAGACAAATGTCATAATTGTGGTAATTGGTTGAAGCCAAACCATAAGGAGAATTATCCAGAAAAGAATATAATTTGTAACAATTGTAGTGGAAGAGGTAATTTTGCAAAGTATTACAGGAGGGCTATGGTTAACCAAACTGACAATTCATATGACTTCAAACAATTCGATACAAAAATGCAAAAAGATGACGAAGAATTTGGAGTACTTGTCATACGGACAGTGTGGGATCAGGCCGGAAAAGAAAACCGAAAGTGGTTGGGAGAGATATGCCGAAAGATTTTCAGCGGGTGATGGATCCCATGTTGGGCTATTTGTCGGAGGTGCATGTCTTTCTTGATGATATCTTGATTTGCAACCCGATGGTATTTAGAAAACCATTGGCGGGAAATTGGAATCTTTCTAAACGTATTAAACGATAATAATGCTGCGTTAAAATGGGGTAAGTGTATTTTCTTTGTCAAAGAAATAGAGTGGCTGGGGTTTTATCTGTCCAAAAGGGTTACAATTGCAGTAGAATTGAAGCTCGAAACAATCGTTAACATGAAAAAAAAACAAAAAAAATTACCAATATTCGCTCAATAATTGGGTCGTTAGATCAATTTATCCGATTTATTTTTAATTTAGTTGCGACAACGAAACCATTTCGAAACTAAATGAAGAAACACTCAAGGTTCGAATGGGGTTCTGATCATGAAAAGTTTTCGTGAAAATGAAATCAACAGTCGGTCTTTTTGTCCAACAACACTATTTCGATCGTGAAAAACAAACAAGAGTAAATTGCGACGCTTCAAAACAAGGGTTGGATGCCTCCTAGGAGCAAATCCTCAAATCCATACCAAGGGCTGGGAATATGTATCCTATGCTTACAGATTCTTGAATGAGGTGGTGCTAAATTACAGCATTAACGATTTAGAATTATTATCGCTCGTTTAGGCTGTGACTCATTATCAAAAGTACATATTTGGGGCTCTGTTCACGATTTTTCGAGATCATAAGGCGCTACTATCATGCTTTCTAGTGGACAATAATACTAATTTATTACAAACGCGGAGAGTGTGGTGGGTCGATCGCTTGTTGCTTTTTGATTACGAAATAGAACTTGTTTCTGGGAAAAAATATGGGATTAATTGACTATTTATCCAGGCAACCCGTTGAGTACGCTCCCAATAGTGTCGGAGTTGGATAATCTTTTTGTTGAGACACAGATCGATAGTATGTACAGGCTTTTACAACCTTCGGCGTTTAGTATCACTGGAACGCGCAGCCAGAATATTGAAGTAATGTGTAAAACGAAATCGGAACGAGAATTACGTCATCGAAAGGAATGTGCAGCAAAGAAACTGATCGACGCATTTCACAACTATCATTCAATCAAAGTGTGTACATCGAATCACTTGCGTATAGAGCATTGCTCACTTTGTGAGTTACCAAATCCATTGGCAGTAAGTGACATGAGTAGGGAGTTAAAAAAACGGAGAAAAGGACGGGTAGGAGATCCGAAAGTTACCGTCGATCAGTCGCATCACATCGACAGCCAATGGCTGATACCGGTGTTATCTTGCCGGCTATGTATGAAGTATCTTATTTGGTTGGCCTGAATTTTTGATGCAGATTTTATCGCATTTCTTAAAAGGCTGATGAAACTGTCAATTCTATTGTCGAAGCTTTATCTGCAAAAAATTACGATCAAATAAAAAACTCAGGTCATTTTTTAAACAATTACCTGAAAAAATTCCATACGTCGCATGGAATTTTCTTACGCGAAGATAGAATCGTTATGCCGCCTCAGTTTTGAGCAACAATTTTGATGCGGCTGCACGAGGGGCATACGGGCATGTTCAAGATTCTGGTGGCCACATATGAATCGCCAAAATCAACTAACGGCGGCCAATTGCATGGAGTGTGTAAAATTTGGTGAGAAATTGAAGTCGGTCATTCCGGAGGGGGACGTTACTAAGTTTAATTTCTTAGGAGAACCTAATCAAGAATTGCAGTTGATTTTTTTACGTCCGCTACCTACGGTATGAGGTACTAAACAGTACTTGTTCAATTGCATCGATAGATGTTCAAATTTTCCTCCGATACAGATCACTAAGAGAACAAGAGCTACCGTGATTGAAGAACTTCTTGTAAACTATATTGAAGTTCATGGATCCCAAGAGCAATTGGTACAGACCGAGGGTAGGGGTTCATTGCAAAATCAATACGTGAACATTGTACCACTAAAAACAGTTAGTTAATATTTGATCCGGTAGGTCGGCATCGTGTCATAGCATACTCGTTTCAGAATACACGGACGGCGCTTAGGCCAGCACTAAATGAGAGTTAATTCATATTTAGAACAGCAATCCATGAATCAATTGGATGTTTTCCTTTTGAGGCTCATTTTGGCCATAAAGCAAATACGGTCTGGCATATGGTCGCCAAAATGCTTCGATAGGTAACTTATCTTGGAAATGTTTTGTATTATCTAGGTCGCAAGAAGAAGATATTTCTAGCGCTAGTTTTGTAGGAATACACGAGTCCGGATGATGACACCACCATGGACATGTACAAACGGTAGAGCATACGCTGGCGGAATAGGGGACAGAAGACCGTCAAAATTTCTGGGATAACGTTTCCTTGCAAGTGCGGTCACAACGGAAACTCAAGGGATCAAGGCGGCGACGACCAAGGTTACTTCGGTTGAGAACCTTTATGTACTACTGAAAGCGACCTCAGGCGTTTTCGACAGACATTAGCGAAGGGTAAGACTGTCAGCAGACCACGCGGGGGAGCTAAAATGACGGAACGGGCACCACCTAAGAAAAGGTTGCGTAGCCCGATAAAGAGTCCAAGTCCGAAGAATAATGTTGCCGGAGACGCTTATTTTGATAGAGAGATGTGTCATTTTACTGGGGCGACGATAACCTCCAAGATGACATTACTGGCCTTGACGAGAACGTGTAGGGGCACTTCGTGGATGTGCTTGACGATTTGCGTTGGATTGTAACGCACACCAACGGTATACCAACAGTTGTCGATGCCCATGGTAACAACGTGGACGGATTCCGAATTCAAGCGTTATACCAGGGACTGGAGGCACGCACAGAAATAGTCGGATGAATTCGGCGCTTGGACAACTTGTTGATGTAGCACAGACGGAAATTCAGTGGACGAGGGAGGCCATCAGTAAAGCAGGGCACGCATTATTAGACAAGTTGGTGGCCGTGAACAAATGATTTCTGGCAAAGCAGATATCAGTAGTAACTCCTGCGGCGCAATGGCCACTGACGATTTGGATTTTGCGGTTGAAATATTGGACATTAGTATGACCGGGAGGAGCAGCGGCAGATATCGGAAGAGTCGAAAAATTTGTGCCAACTTATGACGCCAACGAGTGGCCGACCCGAGAGGAGAAAAAGGGTCGATAGGATTTCAAAACTTTAGCTCATTTATCTGTGAATTTATCAATGACTGATTAAATACTTAGTGGAGTAACCTTATGTTTTTTACGATGTTCTTGGTTTTAATGAATGGGGAGGGGGAGTGTAGTGGAGACTGTTTAACTGGTAATGTAATTTATGTTAGAGAACACTATTATGTATGGTACTCATGTAACATCGTCAAGGTCAATTATAGAAAGCGTTGGAACTGCGGATCGCTGGTGGCGAACGTGTCCTTTGAGAATTGAAACGTTTTTTTTCTAAACTGTTTTATTAAGTTCTACTTATTATTACACGGACGTTAGAAACACTTCGACAGTACGCACAGGTTTCCAAAGTTGTTGATATTTTTTTTTTACAAAACTACCATAGTCTTTAAGAATTCAATCAATTGTTAACGAATCGTTCTTGAAAAATTTCAGCTTTTTTCAAAAAACGAAACTATATGGGAAGATATCAAAACACGGTTCAGAAAGTATTCAAAAATAATCGCAATTTCCCAAAAAGTTATATTTTGTGACATTAAAAACAACTTAAAGATAGCAGAAACAATTGAATCGCTAGAAAACTGTATGTCTAAAATACCACGCCGTCCAGTTAATAATGAATCAAGACATATCGGGGCGAAATTATGGTGGGGAGGTGTAGGCGCTTACCCTCAGGGAATCCACCCCCTCGCCACCCAAAAATTCCCCCCTGGTACTATTTTACGATGTCCATTTTTGTAAGGCGCCCTCTAATATATTCTAATTTTGAGGAGATAAAGAGACCGCTCCATAAGAACGCTACTTTTTGGTCAGAACCTTCCAAATTTTTCCATAAAAAACGCGTTTTTTTCTTGTTTTTCAAAAATTTATATCAAACGGAGAAAAATTTGCCAAAAACAGGGCTGTTATGGTGCCGGAAAATCATTGAAGATCTTAGATTCACCCCTCAAGACTATGTGCTTTTATATGGCTTTTCTTAGGCGTTGAGACTACCCTATACACACTATGCTGTTTTTCAGGGTTCAAAGATTTCAATCGGAGATTGGAAGTTGACAAAAAAGAGTCCATTCAACCCAATTGACAAGTGAAAACTTCAAACTCTCAATTCTTACAATTCATGCATTTTGAATTCACATCCGATTGATCTTAAAATAAAACTGAATCATATTAAGCTGCAGGGCCGATTTGTTTGTACCACTTAACCGAGAATCTTTTAGATTACAAATATTTAGTTTTGCAAATTACAATTGATTCACTTTCCTAATGTAACTTTGATGGTGCTGCTTTTGTTTTTGTCAGATTATATTGAATTTATATCGGATGTTTTAAATTTCAAAAAAGTGTGAGTAAAAAAATAGCCAGTAGCTTTTTTTCAAATTGAAATCAACATTTTTCTAGTGAAAATTTTCTATAGTAGAAGCGTGCTCCACAAATGTTAAGGTTTTCAACCTCAATTCTTGTCATTAACATTTTTTTCAAGGGTTACTTCTGGCCGAACAAAAAATCTTTGAAACAGAATTACTATCAATTTGAATAAAAAGGTGCACTTATAAAACGAGTATCCCTAAAATAAAACTCTTCAAGCGCAGACATTGAATCTCTTGTTTTTGTAAGATCTGGCATATGCCATGAATCAGCCGATATAGAAGCTAGCCTAAAGCAAAGCCGTGTTAGAAAAAAAAACTCGTCGAATCCTTGTAACCCGGGTCAATATGTTCACAAAATTTATGTTTCGAACATTTCACGGGGTGAATGGAAGAAACCATAGTGTGAGAGGGGGGGGGGGGTGTTTTACCTGCTGATTTTGACTAATTAAAGGATAATTCTTTGGATTTCAAGCTCGACTAAAGTTCAAACTTTCGAAGGACCAATTAATCGTGCTCGGGTTGGGTTTTTCTCCAAACTAGTTTCAATTTTAACAGTTTTTTTTTCGACGGGATTTTTCTACATGTCCTGAATATAAGAAAATGTATTTCATTTTTGACAGTTTTTTGCAAAATTATGGTCGATTTGGTATAATTTACGCGCGGTATAAATCGAGCTGTTAACGAGTAAGCGGCAATTTAGTCCGGCTCAGAAATCATTCCAACTGAAATTGAGGCATGATAGTTTTTCTAAATACTATATTACTGAATGTTAAATATGACTCTGTAATTTATAAAGGAGTATATATATTTTGAAAAATTTATCTTTTTTGCCTACATTCATTCATTGATGTTAAAAGATGGCCGGAACATTTAAAGCTTCGCCCATCTTTCCTACTTTCAAAGACAATAAGGGAAAATATGTGCTCGCGGTGATTCTTACTCCAGACAATATTTGAATTTTTAGCAGGCCATTTTCGATAAAAAATTTATTATGTCATTCGAAAAGTATTGTTGTGCTGAACCTAAATTAAAAAGTAATGGGGTTTTGAAAATTGCTAATTTGTTCAATTTTGGATAATTAACGCGCGATGGTTTTCGTTCTTATAACACGCGTAAGCGGCGGATTAATGCGTTGTAATTTAAATTACAACACATTAATCAAGGCATTTTGGTAGTTTTATTAGTATACAAGACACTAAACACATCTCTTTGTAGTTTACATTAGCGTGTGGGCAGATAAAATATAATAACAATTATTTTGCAGAGAGATGTAGCCCGTGTAATGAATAGTTCCAAATTGAGTTGAGGTTAGCCATTTAGTCTATTTAAAACTTGATTGTTTCCGAAATATGAAATTTTTGCTTTACATAGCGTGTGAAGGTGATTTTCAAGCAAAAATAAAAAAAACTTGCAAGTATTTTTTTATTTGAATTTTCAATTATTTAAAGTAAACACAACGCAGAACACGATAGAGTGAAAAATTCAAATCAATTTCAAAGGAACTGCAAACAATTTAGGCTAAACTGTTTAGAACTAGCTTTTATTTAGCCTAAAAAAATTAAATGAACAAGCGTTCTACGAGAAAATTGTCCCAAAAATGCAGGGTCTTATGCACTAAACCGCCCAAAAATTTTTTTTTTGTATCTGAAGCTGAAATTTGCACAATCTGATTTGCACAATCAGAAATCCCGACCAAAAATTTTAGCAGATAAAAATATTAGCCGAAAAAATAAACGAAGTTTACTTAAGTAAAAAAAAATCAAGTTAATTTCGAGTCACTAAAACAGCGTGGCAAAACAAAAATTCTGAATTTTGTACGCCAATTCGACTGATAATTCTATTCGCCTGAAACTTTATTTGATATTTTCTTTTGATATATTAGCCAATCAGATTCCTCCACATAAATTCAGTTCAAGAGATGTAAAATTGTGGGCCGTTTTGTGCATGAGACCCATTCTTTATGCTGCAATTGAGTTTTGCAGCACAATTGTTCTTCGATTGATTATTAGGCTTTTATGCACTAAATGGGTGGTGTTTCTCTTGTTGAGTAATTGAATATTGGAATTTCAGCAAATCAGAACTAAGTATTCAAAAACCTCAAAAAAATTTCAAAAATCTACAAACAAGCAAATAAATTTAGGCTGTTAAAATTAATATCGATCGAATATAAGCTAAGCAGGTTCTATATAATAGGTTTTAAAGCATTACCAGATCAAAGAAACATTAGAAAAAAGCAGATTTTTGCACACAAAAAAAACGCAATAGCGATTATAAAGATTTAAAAAAAAACACCAAAATTATTGAATCTGCTTTTACTGAGCATGCTTTATTTTTTTCTGATATTTTTGTTTTCTGTTCATTGTAAAAACCAATCAGCGAATAGCAACTTCTACTAATTTTGATTGGTTGAAAGTTTTCCATTATTCGGGCCATTAATCTTGAGTTAAAACTAATGTGGTTGAATCTGCTTGACTACTAAGCCAATTAAGTTCAAACAATGTTTTACGCCCCTTTAATGAAAATTTTAAGCAGATACAATTTTTATCGAAACTTGTAAAAACTATAACTTAAAAGTTTTAGATTATCCAAACTTATAAAAACTAATCAGACTAAGTCATTTTATTGAACTGAACTTGTCTGGGCAAGGTTTCAGAAGTGACTCGAAGCTATTCTAGTTAACTTTCAAAATTCCACCTTGTTGGGATTTTCGGCTAGACCTTTATCTGCTGGAACTTTTTATTGGAATACCTGACCACATTGCTTGTATTTGTTTAGCTAAAATTAGCAAATCAGATTCAAATGTATGAATTTCAGGTTTAGATAAAAAAATTGCTTTGGAAAAACATTTTTCCATCAGGTCTTAATAACGGCCGACATTTGTTGTACATATAATACTTGTACTAACCGACATATACTGACCGATATAACTGCTTTCAACTGAGGCAAATTTTTTGGGAAAAATCTTCATAATTAATTGATAAAATTTTTTAAGAAAAAGTTTCAAGTGCAAATCAGGTTAATTTTCAATTCGCACAGCAAACGCCTATGGATCATAAACAATTATATTGTCATTTTACCGTCAGTATCTGTGAAATTATAAAAAAATCGATAATAAAACAATAAAATTGGATTTTAGTCCTAACATTTTTTATGTCAATATAATACAATTTGGCAAACTAGTGTAGGGGAGTGCCATCGAAAACAGGGGGATTGATATCATAGAAAATTTTGCAAATCTTGCAAGATTTCTGCAGAACAATCAAATTTTTTTTGTAAAAAGAAAATCGTTTGTTATCGATTATTAAGAATTTTTATTCCAAAAATAATACATTATAATGGACTATATTGTCAACAATAATCGATTTCAGAATCTTAAGACCATTCATCCACGGGGGAAAGGACCAACACAAGAGCTGTACAGCTCATCACGGCGAACCGCTGTTGTGCCCCTGTTTAAGAACTACATGCAATTTTTTTGGATAATTTTCTGGGCTGGGTAATGTTGCTTCACCCTCAAGCAACGAGCACGGATCATGGTGGGCCTCGAACATCCGACCTTTCGATTGAGAGGCGGAGACGTAACCACTTCACCATCGCTCCCCTTAACTAGTGAGTTAAGATCGATTCTAATAGACTTAAGTGAATTATTTTTCTTTCAAATTTGAACGATGATAAAAACAAAATTTAATCGTGGTCTAAATTGTATTTTTTTAATGGAATATAATGAAACACTTTGTTTCAGAAGTTCATTATAATGGAGAAACTCCATGGTTGCTCGTTGCGGGATCTATTTGAGGTAAATTGCGCGCCGAAAGACAGCAATGGTTGGTCAAAACTTTCCAAAAAGTTCCTAAAATGTCTTTTTTGCCTGTTTTCTTAAAATTTTGTTGTCTTTATAGTGATTTGGAAGAGCTCCGAAAGACAAACTGGTCGATTTTAATAAACTTTGACGAAATTCTCACGAAGAAACTCTAGATCCACCTCTGATGTCGTCTATTGACTCAGGCTTAGTTTTCTAGATTCAAGCAGACTATTTGATTGCCTCAGTAAAAAAAATTGAACAAAATTCTAACACTACGAGGCCAAACTGTGTCGTTAGTGAATTTTCAACGTTAGTGAATCTCGGGTTTCCTTTGATTTTTTCAAAAACAGTTTACCATATTTAAAGACTTGTCTCTGAATTCCAGTGACGTTCACACACCAAAAAATGCGCCCATCTACTGCACAGTTTGGTGTCGTACTGAAGACTTAAGCTACAAGTTGAGAAGCGGTACTGCATCTAGCCCCGGTTCTGGAGCGGTGACTGTTGGCTCTTCCTTGCTATTGTTATACCCACGGATTCTGTGTATATCGGTTAGATATGATTTGAGACATACTGTGTAATAGAAATAGGAAACCAAAAGATTTTGTTATCAACTTAAATTCAACCGGTAAAGTTATGTCTGATTCGAATCTGACCTAGAAATCATGAGAGCGACAGAGACTCATAAATAACTATTGAAAATGGTGTTAGGTTTAATAGATACTTAATTTAGATCAGATATCTATATGATTACGTTTACATAAGTAGGTATGGTTAAAGGTTAGAACTATAAACAATCTATGTAACTGTTTTAGCTATACTGAGTTCTAATGGATATCCACTATATCCGTACGGATAACATTCCCCCTTCTTTTTTCTATATGATGATCACATCATATATTCTCCTGTTTTTCATCATCATCCTCGTTCGGTGGAGGTGAGGTCTCGGGGGCGTTCGTTGCAGATGAGGTCTGTGGTGTTTGTTGTGTGTCCGTTTCGCTGCTTTTCGCCGCCTTCGTGTGTTTTATAAGGTATTTAGGGCGATCTTGTCTCTCGCATTCTCTTTGAAATTTCGTAAAGTTTTTTGTTGGCGATATGGATTTGAGAATCTTCATTGCGTCATTAAAACTTTCAATGAGCGATTTGTCTGGTGAGTAGGAAGTTTCAGCTGG